CATCCGTTAGTCCATCCATCCGTCCATCCATCCATCCATCCATCCATCCATCCATCTATCTATCTATCTATCTATCTATCTATCTATCTATCTATCTATCTATCTATCTATCTATCTATCTATCTATCTATCTATCTATCTATCTATCTATCTATCTATCTATCTATCTATCTATCTATCTATCTATCTATCTATCTATCTATCTATCTATCTATCTATCTATCTATCTATCTATCTATCTATCTATCTATCTATCTATCTATCTATCTATCTATCTATCTATCTATCTATCTATCTATCTATCTATCTATCTATCTATCTATCTATCTATCTATCTATCTATCTATCTATCTATCTATCTATCTATCTATCTATCTATCTATCTATCTATCTATCTATCTATCTATCTATCTATCTATCTATCTATCTATCTATCTATCTATCTATCTATCTATCTATCTATCTATCTATCTATCTATCTATCTATCTATCTATCTATCTATCTATCTATCTATCTATCTATCTATCTATCTATCTATCTATCTATCTATCTATCTATCTATCTATCTATCTATCTATCTATCTATCTATCTATCTATCTATCTATCTATCTATCTATCTATCTATCTATCTATCTATCTATCTATCTATCTATCTATCTATCTATCTATCTATCTATCTATCTATCTATCTATCTATCTATCTATCTATCTATCTATCTATCTATCTATCTATCTATCTATCTATCTATCTATCTATCTATCTATCTATCTATCTATCTATCTATCTATCTATCTGTCTGTCTGTCTATCCATCCGTTAGTCCATCCATCCATCCATCTATCTATCAATCTATCTATCTATCTGTCTGTCTGTCCGTCTATCCATCCACGGTCGGTCCGTCCATCTATCTATCTATCTATCTATCTATCTATCTATCTATCTATCTATCTATCTATCTATCTATCTATCTATCTATCTAAACTACCACTTAAATTAAATTTGCCTTGACAATTTTTTTTGCAACACTTTATTTTAAGGTGTCCTTGTTACACATTACATTTACTTACTATTATAATAACAATTAATTATGCATAATTACATGCAAGTAACCCTAAGCCAAATCCTAACCATATAGTAAGTACATGTAATTAATTAATATTACTCAGTACTTATGTATAATTACACTGTAACAAGGACACCTTAAAATAAAGTGTAACCACTTTTTTATCTAGTTGTAATTAACATGCAATTAGGCGTCCAAAAACATTCCATTCAGTTTGCACTTAAGTATATTATTTTACAGTATTATTTCCATAATAAGTACAAAAAAATATGCACTTAAAAAGTATGCTGAAGTGTACTGTTTTTCACAAGGGAGGAGATGTGTACATACAGTACATTAATATCATTAACATTCCACTGAACAAAATGACTCATCACACACACACACACACACACACACACACACACACACACGTCACATGTTTATGAGTAAAGACTCACTGCGCTGCGATCTTGATGAACTTCTTGAGCAGTTGAACGCGTTTGCTGAGCGTGGGACACAAACAAACCTCTGTGACCACCCACAGCTGAACCTCATTAAAGCGCCGCAGGAACAGATCCAGATTAGCCGTGGTCTTCTTGAAATGCTGACGGCCAAACGTGTGGTAGATCAGCTCATGCTAAAACACAAATACACAGAGAATTACTAGAACTCTACTGGAAATGGTGAGTAATAAAATACACACATACTAATACAGACTCTTTTAGAACTCTTGTGAAACAGAAGTACACTTTATCATACTTTTTAAAAGAGTACTTATTGCAGAATTAATATACTTTAAAAGAATATACTTAAGTGTGTTTGGATTTAATGTTTTCGGACACTTAAAATTGAGTGCATTTAAATGAAAACATATTGTATGTATATATAATGTACGGCAATTAAATGAAAACATATTATAATTAAATGTATACTAAATGCAATTAGCTGAAGTTACTTACTTTTTATATGCAATAATATCTATATACTGTATATATATTAAATTAGTACTTTTTAATATGCAATTTCATAATTAATTTCATTAGCACTTCTATTGTCTCTTTGAAATATGGTTGAAGTGTACGGCTGAATGCACAATGACAAGCTTTATGGTAAACTAAAATATATTTTGAGTGAACGCAAGCAGCGTACGCTCTTCTGTGTCAACTGCGACACAAGGATACGTTTTCTACGTGTATTTCTGCTTTGATTTGAATGAAAAAGGCGCATCTCTGCAGCTCGGCTGACACAGAAGAGCGTACGCTGCTTGCATTCAGCGGATATTCTCCAAAATGGCGCTACGGTGATGTGGAGAGACACAGAGGAGACGAATTGTTGAATAAAGTCGTTATTTTTGTT